TTTTGAAAGATATATCAGAATACTGATATCTCTTTAAATAATAATGATATTACAACTAATAGTATTCTATAAGACTCCAGCAGAGAACTTTACGAACAGCAAATCTACGTTTGCAAGAATGCCAAAACGACTAAATCTAAAAAATGAACGAAAAATTGTATAGAACTATAATCTAGAACATCAAAATACCAAATACCAGAAATAGCCCTTACCCCAAAAATACTTGAATCAACAAAGATTCTGATATCAACTACCACAGGTAAAACAATAAACCTTTTCAACAAGTATTCTTTCAAACATCCTTGGTGTAATATGCAACCTTTCTGAATATTTTATAAATATTTTCCAACCTTTTATATTACATGTGAAAGAGATACAAAAAGAATTACAATAATAAAGAAAATATTTGGAAAAGTTGCATATCGCACCAAATATTTTTAAAAGAATACTTGTGAAAAGATTTATTGTTCTACCTGTGTATAATGATGATTCCAAGAATTAATGATGACAACAGTTCCAAGATCAGTGCCCAATCTGGTTATCGAATTAGCAAAAATACTGTCTAGTCAAATCACCACTACAAGAACTACAAGAACTAGTAAAAACTACAAAAAGATCGAAATTGTTTTAGCATCAGTTGTAACAAAGAATAAGAAAAACTACTTATCTACTTCTGTACTCAAATCAAATTTTGAATTTGATTTAAATATTTGAAATTATTTAATCAAATTTTTAATTAATTTAATCAAATAATTTCAAATATTTGAATCAAATTCAAAATTTTATTTTATTTTGTGAGCACTACCTGGGTGTATAAAATGGAGATTTACAAAGAAAAAAATTGCCCAGGCTACATTAATAACGAAATTCACTCATCAACTCAAAATCCTACTGAGATACAAATTGTAGTTACTTCAGTACTTGGTATTGATACCAATAAAATTGTATGTCAAGTAAAAAAGATTGGTAGAGATTTTGGCAAAAAGGAACAAGGAGTATTTCTTTATCACTAGTACTAGTAGTTGGCACATAGCATCTTAAAAAATCTATTAGATGTATGCTAGATCAGTAGATTGTGATGAAGATATAATTATATCAGGACAAAGACATCTTTTCTTAGGGTGGCTCTTTTTTTTACTTCTAGAGAAAGTCACTTTAGCTTTTTCACAAAGGTAAGAAGCTTAAAAGTATATAATTTGCGATTAAGATTACCTTCTTACCTTTCTGTTTGTGTGTAGATTTCGGGTCTCATCTACTTTTTTAACAAACATTAACTCGTGTGGATTATTGTGGATTAATTAAACTAGACATCTTATATTGTCTACTTGTACTTTTATTCGGATTTCTAATAATGAATTCGAAGAATAAAAAATTCCTGAAAAATGCTGGCAAAAAGGTGCATAAGAGCTAATCAAATTTGAGAATCAATACGTAGATTATTCTAGAATCTGATTTTCTAATTTAATATATCTCCTGACTGTATTTTGCTAATGTAGTTGATTTTTCAAAATTATACTATCTTAGCAAGAGCCCATTCTACTACTTGCTTTTAGAATAAACCTTTTAGTTTAGATACCAAATATTCTGGAGAGTTCACTAAGCAAAAGTTTGATTTTAAAAAAAACTATTTAAGTTATGCTCGCTTTTTAGTATTTCATATCTTTTAAGCTTTGTCAATTTTAATCTGTTTAAAGATAAGTTTAATTTCTAGAATAAATTTTTTAGTTTGGATACCAAATATCTTGAGGAATCTACTAGTTACAGAAGGCTTAACCTCAAAAAAAACTATTCAAGTTATATTTACTTCTTAGAGTTTTATGTTTTTAGACTTTGTTGACAACTGTTTACTCAAAGACAAAACTGAAATAGTATATATCTTGGACCTTTCTATAGTATTTTTCTGTAGTTTAGTTTTTTGTTATATTGTCCAAAAAATTGTCAGAAAGAGTTTTTGTATTATTAATACTTTTTAATAATTACTTGAATTAATATTTTATTGAATATAAGTTGAAAACTCAAAAATTATTTAAGATTTTTTTATAAATTATTAATAAAGTTTATAAATACAGTTAGACCTCTCTAAATACAACCTCCATAAATACAATACCTCTCTAAATACACGTTTTTGTCTTGGCTATATGAAATTATTAATACTAAATATATATTCTATATTCTGCAAATACATATTTATTCAAAAGATTTTTTATATTATACTAATCTCCCTAAATGCATGTAGCCAATCAGAAGTTAGTATTTAAGTTTGTTATACAAGCCTGCAAATCAAATATTAAAAGCTGCAATTTGATTGACTTTCTCTAAATACAAACCTCTCTAAATACACATTTTAGGCTGGTCTGTATATATTGTATTTATGAAGGTTTAACTATAATATTGTAATCGAAATATTCGATTATAAGATTGTATTAGGTTTTCAAAAGAATTTTATTGGGGGCTTTTTTTTAATATAAGTATTTGAGGCTTCGAAATCTACCTTTACAAGATATTTTTATATGCATTTTTATAATATTTCTACTACTGATATATTTATCTATTTTTAGGTTATTTATTAAACTATTTCTATTCTTAGTTTGAGAGCTAATTCTATCATTATAATCTTATATATAATAATTTATATATAATGATCATATGCATAACAATTTATATATAATAATTATTTGTATAGCAATATTATATATAATGACTACACCAATGCAACTTTTGATAAATAGAATAGTTTAATTTAAATAAATAAATAAAAAAATATATATATTAATAAATTAATAAATAAAGTGCAAATAAGTAGCAATATAAACAAAGAGTTTGCCAGAATATCGTGATTGTCATAGTGATTACATAATCAATATAGTATATTGGCATCATATGATCGTTATAATATGTAATGTTGAGCCTAGAAATAAAGTAATTATATTACAATATATCAAAGCATAGATATAGTATTTTGAATAGTTTGCAGTAAGATTAAGTTTTTTTTATTTTATTAAATAAATTTTTTATTGTTTTTTTTCATAGATTAAATGAAGAAATATTGGAATGCTGATATATACCAATATGAGTACTAATATGAATCAATGATATACTGATATTAATTATCAAATTTTAATTGAAAAGTACCCAATATTAACCAGTAATTTGGCAAGAATCAAATATCTTTTAAATTTAAATTAAAGAAATTTCTAGCAATATCGATAATGCCGATATTGATTTTAATTTGCCAATATTAACTACTATACAATATATTAGAGTCTTATAGAATACTATTAGTTGTAATATCATTATTATTTAAAGAGATATCAGTATTCTGATATATCTTTCAAAA